TTTCCCTTTCCAGCCCACCTCCTCTGCAAGCATCACTTTCCAAAGATGATTGATCGCATCAACAGCTGTACGTGTTGAGAGCGCCCGGCATTTTTTTGAGTTTTACCGAGGTTGCAGCGCCGCTGCGACCGCTGGATCCCCCAACCCCCCGCTTTTTTGATACATTTTGGTGGGTGGCTTGTGACAGCTCCCGGCTCAATCACCCATTCACACCATCCATGATCCCCGCGCTAAAAGTGCCACTTTTCCGGCTATGGGGCCACACACCCCTTGTCAATTTGACTCTTTTCAAGGCCGCGCTCCTTTGAGGTTCCAAAAAAACAGAATTCTGGGGTTGTTGGTTCCAAATACGTTGGGGGGTTTATTATTGGAACATCGCGTGACTCGTTTTTTTTTTTGTGGTTGCATGGGCCGGGGAGATAGATAGCGTTCGCTGACATTTCGGGCTCGGAACGCAACTATGGAAGTAGGCAGCGATTCTACATATTATAAGAAAATTAGGAGCTGTTTTAGAAAAGCAAAAGCAAAGGTATCCTACTTGTTGCCACTGTCTTTTTAGAGGTACGGCCAATATACCAGCAATATATTTTTTGCGCTAAATTTCGCGCGTGTTTTGCCGGGCCCGCGACACGCAACGCATCTGGGCGCTAGCCATTGCGCGATTGATTACGACAGCTTTAAAGCGGTGAAACTGCTTATGCGTTGCGTGTCGCGCTCCGTGGCAAATTTCCGATTGCCCGTCACTTTAAAGGTTGGAAAAAGGCCCAAAAACTACCTTTTTGAGGCATCTACCTCTTTTACCCACTGCTACGCCTAGCCCTTTGCCAATCCCGTGTTATTACCCGCTCTCCTCCTCTCTACCGTGTGGTGTATGGGGATATCACAATGTTGTGCCCTCAGGCCATCTCTCAATCCATCAACATCCCTCACTACCCCGTGTCACAACCTGAGGCCCAACCAGCCGCGCACCCAACCCACTCCCAAAGCCGCCGACACTTTTCGACGCGGGCTATGCGTTTGGATATGTTAATAGGAATTTTAGCTCAAAATTCTGCAATTTCTGAGCTCATTAAAAGTGACTAGGAGGTGTATATAACTGATTTTATCAAGTTTTAACTTTTATACCCTTAGACCGCTAGAGGTCGCTTATCCCCGATAATATTTGTTGTGCCCCCTTCGAGCAGAAGCCGCTGGTGGAGGAGAATTGCGTGAATGTGCCCTCAGTTGGCCCTTCCTCCTCCTCCTTCCCCCGAAGGGGAAGCCCTGATCCGGTGCTGATCGGCTTATACCCCCCCTAACGTGCCCCCACATTTCGTGAAGAAGGGGGATGGTAGGGAGAACCTTGTGGTAGACGGCGGCCAGCCGGACGAGTCAACATTCCTCCCCTATCATCCTTCTTACGTTCTGCCGTTCGTTTTTTTTTGGGAATTAAGCTGATTGGCAGCCCCGGCAGTTCCGATTCCATTTACTCGGAAGGTTTGATAGCGGTTAGTTTTGGCGGAATTTTAAGGTTTATTCTACCGCCAAAAGGTTGCAACCCTTTCCCTGAGCACTGGTAATCAAAAAGAATCCCCGTCTAGCCCCTAACTTACATACGGTGAGATGAGTGTTGATCGAGTGCGCAGCAACCCACTCCCTGGTCTCACTGACAGTTTTTGACCGCCGACCCTCGGCCTAAAGAAGGGCCCCCAGATAGTTGAGAGCCGCGGGAGGGCCCAGGTGGTTTGGAGGCAAGGTGATATCCGGCTCTTTGTTTGCCCCCAGACGGGCCTTGGGGCGGAAGCCGTTCGGCTTTTTATCGCGCATCTAGGCTTTTGGTAATGCTTTGTCGATGCCTTTTCGATTTTGCATGTTCCCTGAAATTCTTTTTTTTTTTTCGTGATACGAAATTCTGTTAATAACTGCGATTTGCCATACTGGTTTGGTTTCGGCGGTTCAAACTTACTTTAGAAGTAGCCGTAGGCTTAAGCTACCGGCTGAAGCTTGGGCTTAGGTTTAGCTCAGGTTAGTCTGAAGCTGGGCTCGGCTTAGGCTTAGGCTTAACTTTGGGCTTAGTTTGCGTTTGCTTAAGTTCATTTAAGCTGAGTTTATTTGTAATTAAACTCACGTGCTTGGGCTTTTCTCTTGGGCTTGTCTTTGTTAGATCCTTGGCAAATCTCTTCTCATAGCCGTCGACTCGGATTTACATCTGTCGAACGGCAAGCGTCATGACAATCTTACTCATGCCGTTCGCATTATTATGCAATTTCTTGCGGGGAGCGCTTATGCGGGAATGGCCCGTTGGTGGTGGGCCCCAAATTGCCGTCATGGCGTGTTTACATTGTGCCCCTGTTGGCCACCGCCATATGCTTATGCCCCTGCAGCGTCGTGTCGTTCGGATGAGAGCGTGCCGTCGTCGAGCTGTTTCACTATTGGAATGTCTATTCTTATGATACCTTGTGCTTGCGCTGGTTCTGAAGATGCTTACCAAATTTAATTCTGCAAACCAAATTTGCAGAATCTTGATTTTCCAGAAGTTATCAACGATTGAAGTCAGTGAAATCATACAAAGTGTGTCATTTTGCGCTTTTCTCAGCCTTAGGTCATTCATAACTTTTGGAAAATCGTGATTCCGTAAATCCGGTAACCATGTTCGGAAATTCTGTACAAGATAGGTTTTGTCTCATCTCAAAACATCGATGACACTAAAAACCTGTTAGTAAGAACTCCGTCCAGCCCAACCCCGTCTCATGCATTGGTGCCGGGAAAAGTTATATGTGGTGTGTGGGGGAGCTTCTTCCTCCCAGTCACCCTCCTCTCCTCACCCTCCTATCAAATTTCGTTTTCGGCGCTTTCCGAGGCGTTTCGCGGGCAAGAAGAAGCCCTCGCCGCCAGCCCGGGCCGGTTGTTTGCCTGCGGGCCCTCCATTGACCTAATATACCGGGTGGAGGGTGGGGCCCTATTCTGTGCTCCACGCAATGAATGACTGCCGCTTACTACTGCTCTTTACCAATATTTGTTTTTGTTTGGTAATTACCTCTTAGGGGATTGCTGTTGGATGGTTGTTGTATAGTGGCATTCCGCTCGTAAAGTAAAGGTATATCCGGTAGTTGAAGCGGTTTGGGCAGCTTTTAGCCCTGATTTAGCCAGTTTTTTTTGCTGTATTTTGATGTTGTGGGCTTGATACCGGGATTGATATACAATTTAGATTAAGGAACGTTACGCTTGTCTCGAAATTTACAAAAACAAAAGTCGGGTAATAGATTAGAATACCGGGATCGTTTCTTCAGATTTTGGATCTCTCTTCATACCGCATTAACCCCCCGATTTTGCAGACCGCTTTGAGTTTGGGCCCCAACTAACATCTAAGCCCCAACATCTTCCGCTTCTCCCCCGTAGCGCCTTCCAGCCTCTAAAAAAATCAGGCCCGCCGCCCAGGTGGCATGTTGTGTTGGGGGTGCGCGGGATGGGGCTCAGAGAGCCCTAATCGATCCCTGTGGGCCCGTGGCCCCTTCTCCGGCCACTTTTTCCCCTATTTTCCATTTTCGTTTTTGAGGGCTAGAGGAGGGGGATGGGGGGAGGGGGCAGAGCTCGGGCTCCCTCCTCGGCACAAACACATTCAGAGAATAACTCGGGACGCCACGGGGGGAAGGGGGGGAAGGGTGCGCCCCTTACCCATATGGCTTCTCCCCCCGCGGCCCCGGGGAGGGCACCGGGGGCAGAGATTGTGGCCATCTAGAGTTCGTAGCCTTAGGGCTTCTTCTGCTTCGATGGGCACCTGTCTATTTTGGCTGTGCCTCCTCTGAAATCATCAGGATTTCTTGGCATTTGTTCGTCAAATTTTATTGTATTCCACTACCATTTTTATATTTTTTACATTTACAGTTGTAACGTCCCTGAAAGGCAAGAATTTTTGGGGTTATAGAGAGCTATATAAGCCACGAAAATCTATAGATATATTCTGTTATCTATACCACAACGTGGAACTCCTATTTACGCCCTAGCGAAACGTCGTTTTTACATGAGAACGACCTATTTAAAATGTTACGGTCCCTTAAAAATGTCAAAAACCCGAAAATGCCATCTTTCGCATTTTTTTAAACAGGAACACCAAAGCCACTTCTCCCTAATGCATTGGATATGAGCACGTCTTCCCTTTCAACCCCCAGACGCTACATTTATATCTTTTACAAACTTTGAGGCATGCGCCCCTCCTGGTATAATTTTAATCTCTCCCGCCTCGATCCAAAATCCACAAGACCGAGAAAATCCAGTGGCGGGCGGCCCTTTTCGTCATGGGACACATAATCCCCCCGGGCAGCGCCCTCATAAATTTGTGATCCACAGGGCCAGTCGTTTTTTAGCGTTTTTTGGCAGCGCAGATTCTTCATTGCCCTCGCGTCTGAAAGCGATATTTCGGGCCTGTGAGGGGGAACAGGTGGAATATATGTATTCGTGGGGGCTCATGTTTCCCGGCAGGGCCCAGCCTCTAATCAGCATTTTGGGCATTTGTGCGGCAGAGCTGCAGGGGGGGGGGGGGGGATGGGATAGCGCATGTTTGTGCACCTGTTTGAAATGCATCCCTTTATTTTATGCCCTCCCCGCTTCTATCATCATTTTTCCGGCCGGTTGCTGGCCTATTCATTGGATGTTTTTGTACTACAATACGGTAAAATAGTGAATTACTTTAATTTCTTGTCGTTGTTTTTTAGTTTCCTGAAATTCCTTCCCTGTTCTTTTACCTGCCCTGCACCAGGCTGAAAAATTTCCTCTTTAATTTTTGCTGCGTTTTTTGAAATCTTTTTGGCTCTCGTGTTTCAGAAGATCCCCGAAAGTTTTCTCGCTGCAGTTGGCTTCTATATCTCTCGCTCTATCGCCTACATTTTTCAGGATGTTTGGGTGTGAAGCGATGTTCTCAAAATGTTATTATTATTTGGAGCCATTTAAATGCATATGCTCGATTTCAGACTAGCCACCATTTGCCGTAGGATAGCGATTTCCGGCCAGCCATCACGCTGATAATGCGGATTTCACTATTGCTGCTCACCCTGCCCGCCATCCTAGTCGCCTACAACCCCCCGGCCTCCGAGGTCAGTTTACTAAATGGCATCTCGTTTGAAAATCGACCTGACCGTTTGTGCTAACAAAATATATTCAGGTCAGGAATAAAAGATACGCTTATCATAGCGAGGTAAGTGTCAAAAAAAGACGGCTGATCCCTCGGTTTCCTCTAAAAACTCGGCTTTCGCTTTCACTTGCCCCACTCACGCAATTTCCCCCGGTTTGCACGGACGCCAGCTGGTCATTAACATTTCGATACTCGGAAAAATCTGCCGCCAGCAGCCGTTGTTAGTCGTTTTGCGTAGTTGGACCGGGAGGGCTTTTTAAAGGGATAGGAACAAGCGAAAACGTTTACGGGGTTTACAACTTTTCAACGTAAATCTCTTGGTATCGAATAAACGAATTGCTATAAAAGGCGAACAGTATGATATTTTTTGCTTTATATAACTGTCAAAAAAAATTTCAAATTTAACGATCGAAGAATTTATTAGTACTGTAAAAGTGTGAAAAAATGCCTTGACCACCATCGCTTTAAAATGGGTTCCACTAACAACGCGTCTACGTCTGTCCAATCTACCAAACAATAATTTTTTAGTGCGACCAAATCACGCTGGTGAAGTGCTTCATCGATATTTTGGACGATTGGGCGTGGACGCTGTACGAGTTGAAGCAGAATGTGGTGACGATCAGCGATGAACAATGCAAGCACCTCAGTCGACTCGAGACCTGTGTAAATGTAGGTTTTTTTGCGTAGCTGAGTACTACTGGTCTAGCAGATTTTGTAAAATTAATGCACAGCCTTATAACACCCTGGGGCAACATTGTGGTGTCAATCATGGGGGGTGGTGTTGGAATCAGGGATGAGGCATCGTTGGGGGGTGTCTAGGCTTCGATGCAAACTCGATTTGCATCTTAATGAGCTTCCCTAACTTTGGCCCTCCCTCTCCCTCTCCCTCTCTCTCTCTCTCGCTCTCTCTCTCTCTCGGGTCACTCGTCAACCACACCCCATTCAAGCGCCCCATTCCATGGCCCACACCCCACAGAATCCCCCCGAATTGAGCCAATTAGCCATCGAAGCCAAAGCGGCCTGGTAAACTTTTGCCCAGAAGCCACATCCAAAATCTGCACCTCGTAAACGAAGAAAAGTGCGTGGTGGGCATAAGGCACGCGCCCGCCTCACCCCTCAATTTCCTATGCAAATGAGCTTTGCGTGCATATTTTCTGGGTGGGTGCCGGGGGGCTTTGGAGCTGCTTTCTCTAGGGGCCAGAGTCGCGCTGCCAAAGAGGACTTCAAGCCGGAAAAGCCGGGGGAAAACACTGGTCCCGGGTAATTTGTGCGTAAAAACTGGTCGTGAAGGGGCCGGGGACAACAATTACGGAATGGGCGAGAAAAGGAAGGTGTAGAAAATCGGAAGACGTCTAAAGGTGGAAAATGCCATTTGGGAAGCTTGTAAGTGACCTTGAAATCTGCACCCAGCCCAAATATAAATTGTCCTTATCGAAAATCGCTTAGAAACTGTAACCATAGCTTGAAATTTGGTGTGTTTTTTTTAAAGAAAAATTTAATCACATCAGAATTGAAAGGGTTAGGTTCGAAATGTCGAAAATTATAATGTCGATATTCATAATGACGAAATTTCTGAATGCGAAAACTTCCTTAAACAACCCTCCCCGAGAAAAAACCGCTAAATCCTGTGCGAAAAATTCGACATATAAGATTTTGACAATATGGCTTTTCGACATTCTAAAATTTGGACATTATGATTTTCGACATTATGATTACAAATCAAATTCAAGAGCCGCAATTTCCGATACTTTCTCGAACACCGATGTTCCCAGTGACCCCTCCCCCCGTGACCTAGCAGTACTAGAGTACGATTTCGGGTGGTCACCTTTTGGCCGTCAACTCCAAACAGAATTGTCCCCAATTCCGTTCTGTCCTTTCGACGGCCCATTCCCTTCGCTGAGCGGCCCGGGAGGGCTACTAGCAGGAAATTTTGTTTACACGTTCGCTGGGTGGGCACGGGGGCACGCTTGCTCGTTCTAGGGTTAGCTTGAACTTTCGTTCTTTAAGACAAGGGTAGAAAGGGGTTGAAAAAGGATTGTTCAGTTGCTAAATAGAAATTCCGTTAAAAATTTATAGGCGAACAATTTTCCCTATGCTACCCTTACTAGCTAAGACCCCAGAATACCCGCCAATTGTCAGGCGAGTCAATTAATGGTGAGGTGCCAGTGGGCCGTCTGTCAACCCCTCTCTTTTTATATCGTGCCCCGCTTTGAGCGCGGGCCCACTACCCACAAAAGGCGATTGGATTGGCGGCGGTGAAGCGGAACAGATTCGGGATCAGGCACACCGGTCTGTCACCCCTCAATACCCTCTATTGCCCCCTACAAACACCCAATTATCATTACGCCATAAATTAGGGAGTGGGCCCGGGGTGGAGAAGGAGAAGGAGAAAGAAGACCGAAAAATATCACCACAGTAAGGAAATAAGTAAAGAATATTTATTGCAGGACGACATCTCGCCCGAAGATGCGGGAAAAATGCAACTGAGTCAGAATAAGCACAAGTGCAAGCACTCGGAAGTTGTCGAGGTGAGCAAAAAATGTCTAGTTTTGTTGTCCTACCATATATTAAACAATAGTCGTTGTGGGTAGAATTTCTAAAAGGTTGCAAACACCTCAGGTTTTTATATTGGGTAATTTCGATAAAAAATCAGCGTTTTGTCAAAGGAACGTTTTGGCATTTTTGACCTCGAAATTTGCGAGAAACAATGCAAACTCAAGACCCATTAAACGAGAAGGACCGAGGGCATGCGGTCGGCTTTGGCACAAATTTAATCGGCAAAAAATGCCAAATTTCAATACGGTCCGCGTTTAACTTACAATATGACAGTTCTCGCAAGACTTCATTTAGTTCTGAAAAAACGATTAAGCGCGTTTTAATTATGATCGACATAGTGCTGTTCTGTGTACAATACTTTCACGAATTTCAGGTTTCCGAGACGGTCAGCGATCTTCTCACTCACAGACAGAAGGCTGGCTCATTCTTAAAGGTAAAGCGCTCATGAAAATTGCTCAAAACACCCCACATTTAGTCGTACTACCTTCTCAAATACGCCTGTTCCACCGAGGGCCAGGAAATTCTGAGAGAACATCGGGAGTGCCTGAAAAACGTATGCTTGGCCGTAAAAATCGACCCACCCCCGATTTTTTTTTCAGGAACGAATCGGAGACATGACATTGAAGGCTGGCACGTACATGGCCACCAAGTTCCTTGATAGCCCCAATGACGGAGTGTGCGCAGAGGTTCGCATCTGCAGCTTGAGAAGATTCGCATTTTAGATACAACAACAACTTGATGAGTATATGGAGACGACCAGCGGACTTTGCCAGGCAGCAGCCTCGCGACTCATGTGCAAGAGTCTCACCAACATGTTTACGGTATCAGAGTGTATTCGATTTGCCGTAATAGTGTCGAAATTCGTAATGCCGAAATTACGGAATCTCGCAACGACGAAATTTCAATATACTGAAATTTTTTGCAAAGCACTGGGGTGTTTTCCGAGAAAATCGCGTATGTAAATTTGGCCATCCAGAATTTCGACGCCCTGAAATGACCGCATTTTATTGAATACTTTATTCTAATCGACGTTTGCAGGAACTCCATCGCGATGCGCTTTCCGACTGCGAGTTTAAGTGCCCGGAGGCTAAGGAGGCACCGAAAGCCGACACGAATACGGTCAGTTTTCGGATTGAACACAAGCAAGACGCGCGGCATCTTGGGAATATTAGATGTTTCCGCCCTCGTTAACCTCGACGTGAAACCCTTTTTCAGCTGGAAGACCCGCAGCAAGAGCAAAGCGATCAGGAGGCGCTGAACAAAGCCAAGGGCAGCGCCCTATCCACCATTACGCAGTCGGCCGGGCTTCTGCTCGCCTTCATCTTTCTCCGATAGACGATCAGGATTTACAATGTTTTGCCCGGTATTAGCAGATAGACATCTCAACCCAACCTAACCATTTATCTTGAAAACGCCCTTTTTCAGTTCCCGACTAAACCTAAAGACGTTTAGAAACGCAGAGTACTTCCAGAAATTGCAATATCCCGAAACCACTCGATTCCATGACCTAGCAGGTAGACCCCCGAAAGATTTCAGTTCAAATTGTTCAGCCCCCAATTCTCATTGATTGATCTAGAAGTTCTAGTCAGTGTTGTTGTACCAATTCTCCCCAAAACCCCCGAAAGCTGCCCCGGAAAGCTACTCCCCAAAAAAACCGCCGTAACACAAGCTCATCTTTTTGAATAGACAGCAAGCCCAAATATATTGCAACTGTTTTTAATGCTTATTCCTGTGTGGGGTGTTCCCGTATTGTGTGAACTGCCATTTTGAAAGAGATTTTTCTATTGGTGCCCTGCTCGAGGGTGAGCCCTTGAGCAACACCACCCTCCCCCCTCCAAATCCTAGGGCTTTCCCCCCGCGTCGCGCGTGGCAGTCAAAAAGTCTGAATGAGCTTCACTAATTCGCTATGATTATTTTATTCTTATTTTTTATACCATTTTTCTCCTCCATTGAATCTCTATCCCAGTCACTTTATGCAAATAGATCTTTGGTAAAGTGTGTGTGTATTTGTTTTTGCCCCTCCCCCTTTCCGACGCATTTAGTGCTCATCTTCTACTCCCTTGGAAATGGTCATTTTTCTCGTTTTCCCTCCAAGTTTTGACAAATAAAGAGAACTATTTATTATCGGGTGGGAGAATAGGAATATGATAAGTGAAAGGAGATCCGGGGAAATTGTTCAATGGATGGGTAAGAAGAAAACGTAAAATTAATGCGGTTGAAATCGATCGATGATACCGAACATATTATTTAGTTTTCACGGCTCCATCCTCCTTGTGCGCCTTCTTCTTGACACTGACATTCCTAAAATGAGCCACTTTCTTGTCTGAAGCATGTTCCACCTACCGTACGATGGACAGCGTCTCCTTGATGCAATTTTTGAATTCACCTGCCGCGTCTTTCGGCTGAATTTCCTCGCCGATTTCCACCTGAAAGCAGCTAATTTGTGGATTGATAAGAGTTCTCGCATTTGTGATAGATCCAGAAGGGGTGAACATAAAGAATCTGTCCGTATTGTATTTTTCATTAAAACGGTGGCAAAAATGGAAATAAATCATGAGCTTTTTTACAATCAGAAAATCAGTAAATCTTCTGTTTTTGCGCTATAAGGAGCGTATCTGGTTGGCATATCAATGTATACAATCGACATGGCGCTTTTCTAACCTTAACCTAACAAAATCTAAGCTTACGCTTAAGCCACAGCCAAAAAATCTTTGTCCAAGCCTAAGCCAAGTCTACGTCTCAGCGTGAGCTTTAGGCTAAGCTCAAATATACGCCTCTGCCTAATAAGCCCGAGCACGAGCCGGTCCCTAAGTCGAGGCCTAGCCTATGCCTAAACCAAAATCTGATCCGAATAGCTGCATTACTTATTCCATCACATATGGATTGGTAAAATAAATACAATTCCCGAGAACCCAAGATCCCACTAACCGCATTCTCATCTTCAGCGTGGTGCGGTTGGGGCTGGGCGGTCTCCGAGCTCATCCTTCTACTTGTCGTCAGGCTGTGATTGCTTCTCCTCTTCTGACAAATCGGATTCTGCAAATTGGCTGTTTAGGGGCGACGGATGGGTATCGAGGCGTAGAAGATGGAAGACGCGTTCATAAATCGTTTTAGTAGAGTGGTTAAGATACTGTAGATTTTAGATAGAAAATATAACAAATAAATACTGAAAAGCGTGGTTTGGATATTTTGCGGGGTATCGGAATTGCCTAAACTATCTTTTTGGCGCCAAGCAGCCAATGGAAGATAAATAATGAACATGACTTTTGGCATGGATCTTTGAAATCGGACGCTAGGGAAGACGACAAAAATGGAAGAAGCCGAAACATGTGCATCTGGTTACATGTTTTTGCGAAGGAATTCATATGGTGTAGGCGGGAATGGGCTGTGACGCAATCTGATGGCGATCTTAGGATTGTACCGAACATTTCACAGTGAAAAACTGATTAGTAAAATCGGCAACTACCTGTTAAGATTAAAAAAAAAGATGCAGAATCATTTTAGTTGTTTTTAAGCAATCGGGTTTTGGGCAAACCATCTTTTTTAAGATTTTGGATTTTATATCATGTGAGCTAACACTTTCTGACCTTTTCTAGCAGCAGCTGAAGCTAACCGAAAATTTAAGCGAACTTCTGTTTCTGAAAAACACGACTTTCGAAAATGTGTATGGAAATCAGAAAAATTGCTGTATTGGTTTTTGCCGAAAAACCAAATAGGCCAACCGGCCAAGCCTCGTTCCGGGTGCTCCAAATGCCCGGCTCGAGGGAGAAGAAGGCTTCCACATGATTGGCCCAATTGCAAGGAAGGGCCCAGACCCCCGGAGTATCCCCCAGCTTGGCGAGGCTCGCACAAGTAATGCGAATCCCTGGGAAACACGGATTCCTTTCCCTCTTCTCAAGGAGTTTGGACGAGGTGCAGCAGGCCAAGTGCCGCCCCGTATCTCATCCCTACGAAGGGTTCTAACTTACGAGAAGGAATTCGAATTGAGCGGCAAGGATCCGAGATCCGCAATGAATTTTATGAAAGTCCCAGAAGCTGGATCCTTAAACTGGCGTGGTATAGCATCGGAAAAATTCTGACTATTGATTCCCACGCCTACTGGGTTTATCAAGACAAGGCGGTCACGCAGTTTCTCAACCAAAAAGTTTTAAAAATATGAAAAACAGACAGTGATATGGCTCTGGGCTTCATGTCAAGCAGAGAACAGCAAACAACAGGCAGAAAACCATCGAGCTAACCAAAATGCAGATTCAAAGTGGATAATAGCAAAGATAACAGATAGATTAGGCTGAATTTTAGGCGTAATCAAATTAGAATAACTTTCAACTATTAATATCATATTAGCAGACAATTATAAACTCAAAATCCGTATAAACTCAAGGTTCCCAACCAGCTAAGCAAGAAACTCTTGCACCCATGGCTCGCCCTACCCAAATTGCCGCCCCGTGCTGAATAAATAACCGGGTTCTGGCTCAAGGCGGAGCAAAAAGTACTCCTAGCCTCCTTTCACTTCCGTTTCGAACACCTGAACGAGAATCTCTGACAGCACAAAGAACGGGAAGACTTGCGCAGCTCTTCGAAAAACGTCAAGAATGAGCACATCGGCCTGCCTAGGCAGAGCATAGGATATGCCGGCTTGCGCCCGCCGCTCTCGGTCCAACGGCCAATTTCCCCTGCTCAGCGTTTTTGTCGGCATTTTTCGGAAGTCTGCCTGGTGTGCTGCAGCTGCGAAAAGCCGGAAGCGGGTCGTGGAAAGCTTTGAACGGTCAGCTGACCGAAGCCAAGGTTAGTGGGAGCTTTTTTACGCTTTGGGGTGACACAATGTTTCTTCTCGGTCCGGGTTGCCCTAGTAATCAGATTTAGATTATATTTAGCACATGTTAGCTTTACTTGACGTAGGAAAACGTTAAAAAACGAGAGAAATGATGGAAAAACCGCCAAAATGATCATTTTTATTTAAAATCTCGTTTTTCGACCTAGAGAAACGATTATTTTAATTTATATTACAACATTTTTCATGCTCAGAAATGGTCAAAAACTAATATTTATAAAAAACTAACCATACCAAGTTGACGCCGGTAAATTGGCCAAGCTAGCTGCGAGCTATATCCCCAAATAAATTACCTCAAAAACCGCCGCCAGCTCGTAAACAATTTTTGTCGGGGGGAAAGCCGCCGGAAAGGATCTGCCGGGGCAATTAATTCTGGGCATAATAATGTTAGAAGTGGCTGCGTTGCGATGCTAATTGACTGGGGCATGAGGGGCGGGGGCTTGTTAATTTGCTGGGCTTCTAAAAAATTGACAATCGGAAATGCGGAAGTTACGGTATTAATAGATGTATTGCGGGGGCCATGAGTTCAAAATGGCGTGTCGATATGGGCGGGAAATTTGATTGGTTTTGGTGAGGTTTGCACCTGGCTGAAGGGAATTTCAGGCGCTCGAACCGGGCAAACGGGCCATTTTTACAAGATCAAAATGATGACAGTGTTATTCACGGATCTAATAAAAATTATATGAAAATCCTAAAACAGAAAAAGTATAAAAAGATCCCGGAAAGCACGAGCCTCTGGCTGATCCTGGCCTCTGATGTCGTGACATTGATCACATGCTACCACTATCCGGATTTCAGACGCTACGAAATTCCGAATTGTCCCCCCCCCCACTCCACTTCCTGCTACGCCTTTGAACCGGGAAGCACAACAAGCGTTAACCCGCAAGAATGGGCCCCCAACTTCCGAAACTCGGACCCATGAAGCGCGGCCGATTTGGCCCTATTCTTGCCCGGGGCGCCTGGCATGACAAGTCATGGAAAACGCTGCGACTCTGGTTTTTGGGGAATTTGAAGGATTTGTATAACACCACAGTCGCAAAGGGAATAACAAAAAGGTATCATACCGATTGTGATGATACGGCTAGGAAGTTGTGATAATGCTTTAATAACGTATTCTCGCAAGCGTCAGACTATGGACAGATAGTAGATGGATTTACTGTCTGTAGTAGAAAATGTCGGAATTTACCAGGACGGAATTGCGAATGTTTGAATTTTGATATTATAATTTCGAAATTGTGAAATTTGAACTTTTTTTGCATCTTCAAAAAAAAATTGTTTAGACGAAAAACGTGATCCCCTTGGAACGGACCCGCCAATTGGCATTCCACACAAAATCGACAGCCTGGAATTCCTTAACAAACAGCCAGCAGCAGTCTCTGGAGAATGCTATAAAATGGCCGGGAGACGAGGAGTGGTTGTGGTTGTGCGTGAGAAGGCGTTCCTAAGCTACGGCCAGTCATGGGTGGAATGGGGCTCTCCTTTTTTGCACGCATCTTCCTCCTCCTCGTCCTCCTCTGCCACCCTCTTCAGAATAATATCCCCTCCACCCCGCCCCGATCCAATAAACCCGGACCCGTAATGACTGCCGTGAAAAACACGGATTATGGGCTTTGCGGGTGGGCCATTTGCCAACTCGGAAGGGCCCCACGGAATCGGTGAGACACAAATTAGACGGCACACGGAATTTGGAAAAGTCGGGAAGGGGTTTATTTTATTAAGGCGGCCGGAGGACAAGGCTAAACCTAAGCCCAAGCCTAGGCCTGACAAGGAGACGTTTTTTAGTGTCGTCGGGGCTGCAAGTTGAGCCAAAGCGTAACTTTTGCAGAATTTTACGCTGATTCCGGAGATGTTTACCAAAGTTGTGGAATCACGCTTTTTCGAAAGTTATGAACGATTTGAGTTAGGAACACATAGAATGTGGCTCAGTTTTTGCGTTTTTCGGTCATAGCTTCGCATCACAAATCGCGATTCTGAAAATTTGGTAAACAGCTTCAGAATCAGTGCAAAATTATGCTTGGTCAAAACTTGTATCGAGGCGACACTAAAAACGGCTCCTTGTAAGCCGTAGCCTAATCTCTGCCGAAGTCCAAGCCCAAGCCTGAAGGGAGGTATCTGAACTCGGCATCGAACTTGAGAAGTCAGATACACCATTCGACGCGCCTTGTCGAGGGGATTCCAAATATGTAATAAAATCAACCAGAGCCTATAACGATAAAAAGTTATGAGCATTTTAAATCGACAAAATGGTGAAAAACAGTATCTTTGAGACTCTGTATCTTCCCGCGGATAGTAATTTAGCCTAAACTGATTAGTGCTCCTTATTCAACGCACATCCATGCGCACACCACTAGGCCACCGGACCGATGAACAGGGTGCGCTGGGAGGGGCTCATATCGCAGCGGCGATCTTCGCTGCAAAACTTAAAATGCTCATAACTTTTTATCGTTATAGGCTCTGGTTGATTTTATTACATATTTGGAATCCACTCGACAAGGCGCGTCGAATGGTGTATCTGACTTCTCAAAGTTCGATGCCGAGTTCAGATACCTCCCTAGTCAGCTAAGCCTCACCTTACGCCGAAACTTAAATCTAAGCTTAAGCTAAGCATATAAAAAAAATTTGCGCCACTTCCTATTCAGATAGTTTTGAAGAATTTATCGATACCTATATAGACGATTCCGGGATATGGTATAGAGCTTAAAACGTAGCACATAAAATTCTGATCAAATGAAATGTCGAATCGGGAATGCACCGCAATGAAGAATGAAACCGGGAACCACAAAAATAAACACGTATAGATCAAAAATCAAAGTTTTCGCTTGGCCGCCCTCCTGCCCAGCCGATCGTTGTCCTTGACGTGAATGTAGAATTCGGATGCCGTGGCTGCGGCCACTTTTTTTGAGCGCGGAGAAAGTGGGCGTGGGTTCTAAAACGGGAGGTCATTCCTAAGTATTCCTTACCTCGTCGAGTCCATCGTCAGGTTTAGTGGGTGAGCAGAGACAGGGCTTTTGGTGATCACACGGATAGGCACAACCGGCAGATACCAGTTGACGGATTTTGGATGTCATTGAGCACGGCTGAAAATGTAGGTAATCGGTTGGCGAGCAGCCCATATTGCCAATGCTACAGAAAACTAAGTTTAAGCTGTGGCATAAGCCAAAATCCAAGTCAAGCAAGGCCTGAGCCTATGTCTAGACTTAAGCCCAAGCCTAAGCCTAAGCCCAAACCTAAGCGAAGCCGAAGCCTGCATCTAAAACTAAGCTCAAGCTAAAACCGAAGCCTAGTTCCAGCCGACGCATCCGAAAAGCAACAAGCAAAATTCGGGTCGCTAACTTACCAATTCCGGAACTTTGCCCTCGGCCGAGTACGAAAAGCGATGTGCATTCGTCAAAATTCCAAAATGCTGCACCCAATACCGTGGCTGGATATGCTCCGGAATTTCAGCGCTGTCAGTGATCACCTGAAAACGAGATTCTAATGCTTGCACAAACTACCTGGCAGCTATTAAGCCGAAATGCACTCAATCGATGCGTCTTTGGCAAGAATGCGTCTATTCTCTGGATCATCGCTTCTCGTTCTGCTGCCGGACATTTTCCATCTAAAGTTAGGTTTTGCATCTACTAAAAGAGGAAGTCATACAACTCGTATTCTCCACCATATTTTTCAACGATCGATAGTAGAAGGAAAATTTGCATTGGAAGGGGGTGAGGTGGAGTTTCGGGTCGTGGTCACCGGTCTCGATTAGCCTGAATTAACAGGATTCAGTAATTTTTCGTGTATTACATCATTTCCAGGTCTTCCAGGTGGTCGTCTTTCAACTGGTTCAGCTCTCGCAGTTGTAGGATATGGGAGTGGAAGCGGTTTAGAAGACGTGTCTCTTTTAAGCATTTGTAATAAGCGATGAAGAAGAGACGCTGGAATATTATTTCCTAGGTTAAAGCTCATGGCTTAAGTGCAGTTTTTAAACTACCGGCTTAAAAGCCCCCCCCCCAGCCTACCGCCACCTACCGTATATCGACTCCCTGGTCATCTATAGGTGAGTAAAGTATAGCAAAATACTCGCCAGAGCAAGACGAACATTTTGGTATACTTTACACACCTGTAGATGAACAGGGAGCCGAGATACAAAAGTTGGGTGGGGGGGGGGGGATAAACTGCACTCTAACCAAAGCTCATAAACATCTTTCGATATGTCCACATTTACAAATACCTACCAATAAATGATGTGTGCTTCGCTTGTATGCCGGGCCAACTTGCCACCGGAAATAGTTGTAAATACCAAAGTATCGCAGCGTATCCGGGTCGACGTCGTTGAATTCGTACAGATTCTAGGCACATTTGAAGCATAGAATTACGACTCACCCTCATTGCCTCCAAGAATAACATCCTTTCCGATTCTTCCCTACCAACACGCAAAAGGGCTACGTTGTATCTTCCATCGGCAAATACGGTGTTACGATTCCTGAAACAGAAAAATGGGTCAATCGTTAAAAATCAAATTTACTTGCAAACAGCTCGTTGTCGCGTGGTCTTCACAAACATTAGATTGTCCATGCGAAGTTCACGCTTGAAGTAGTTGGTGTGAGTTCTAGGAGGATGAAGTTTCGCGCCAAAATATGCAACCAACTTGCTGAGGAAGTAGCTGTATTGGGAGCTGCTCGAAATGTATTCGGCTCGCCGTCTGTCCTTCTCGGTGAGCTCATTTTCATCGAGGCCCTGAAATTCGAGATTTTTACAGCTAGTAAGTTAGTAAATAAGTAATTAGTAAGTAATTTTACGCATCAAACAGCCGCTTTGAACTTGACGTACCCTCCCACTTCCTGGCAACATATACACATCCAGATGGTGCTCATCGTAGTAAATTTCGATCAACAGCGAATCGGCGGGTTCAGGCTGAAAGCCTTGTTTTTAACACAGTAATAACTTACCGTATCCCCCTCGTGCATCGCTACCAAAAAGCACAGCCTCGGGTACGAGGTATGGTAGTGGAGGAGCAGGGCGAATAGGTTGGGGCAGCTCTTGCGGCATAATAGACATCTCTCAGGGGAGGCTGCTGTTTGGGACATGAAGAGGTCACTGGGTTCTTTGTCTCTCTAAAAGACAAGATGTAAAAATACGTGTATTATACTTTTTTATAGCTGCAATTGTAGACGGCGTATTCGATTTCGGTCGGGAATCGTGTCGACATGACCAAACGGAGCCAATCACGCGAAGATGTAGCATCATAGCCTTCTGAAGTTGGATGCGGTTAAGAAAAATAGAGTGACATTTTCAAGCACTTTTTTATTTTTTTCATTTCGTTAAAACTTGAGTATAAAAACTGACCCATGCGTACGACTTTCTCGAGTCGACCCTCAGGGCTTGGACGGTCCGCCGGATCGAAATATTCAATGAAATCGGGTAGATTCGTCTAAAAAACCCACTCATTTTGTCAGCAGCTCTGCAGCGGTCTATCAAGTAGAATAAGCGTCTAACCAACCCAAAATTGCACAGCCAGCTCGTCCTTCCGCTGGTACCGATTTCGATTCTCGTCTACAGTATCCACTCTTCTACTATCTGCAATTTTTGAATGTTGAAACCGAAAGCCATAGTACCGTTTAAAGCACCATTTCCGGTCGATTCCCTACAGGATTGCCGGCCTTTCTTTCCGATACTTGTTCCGGTTTTGTTCAGTGGACAACTTGGCACGCAGCTTTTCGGGACGGCGTCTTCTCGAGCTGGCTCCTAGAGAATTTTCATTTGATTTTGAAGCAGCTTTACCCCGTATCCCAATTTGGCGTCGGATTCGATGAGCGACAACACGAGGTGAGCATCAGTTACCCGATCCTGAATTAATAGGTGAGTAAGAATGTTTTTGTGACGACGCGAAACTCTGTCGCTTTCCGTATCAACATACCACAGGCTTAGCCCGCAGCGACTCATAGATTTGATTATAGCGTGCCAAGCCGATCAGGTCAGCCGCTTCGGTGACCTCCTTCGCCAGTTCTGGTAATGTCTCCAGATAGATGGTGTAGCTCTTCAACGCGGCCGGCTCTTCCTCATCCTGCTCGTACAACGGCAAATACCCATAACGGCTTATCGAGCGAATAGTGTCTTCGACCTACAGATTGGCTTTTTAATCGTAATTTCATTCCCTACCTGAAAGAGCACCGCCGCAGACTTTAGATCCTCAAAGCGGAGCCCGGATGCGCCGAGCAGCAAATCGATACCGCAATTTTCAGGAAACACGTGGTTGTTGCCGAACGGGATCCCGTCTTCGATTCGCACCTGGTGAATCGGGGTTTTCACTAATTTTTCTAGCTTACCGGTATGGAATCGCCAATTTTGTCCTTGGAAGACACGACGAAACAGCTTACGTCCATGCTCCTAAAATTGTTAAGCAAATTCAGCGCTTTGCAAACACTAAAGGAACCAATTTTTTTTTTTTTCCCTTACACTTTTTTTTAATTTTTTTTTTTTTTTTTTTTTTTTGGTTGTTTTTTTTTTTTAAAAATTTTAAATTTTTTTTTTTTAATTTTTTTTTTTGGGGGTGGGGTTTTTTTTTTTTTTTTTTTTTTTTTTTTTTTTTTTTTTTTGGGGAAATATAATTTTTTTATATTTTTTTTAATTTTTTTTTTTGGGGTTTAATATATAGATTGTTTAAAAAAATTTTTTTTTTTTTTTTCCCCCCCCCCCCCCCCCCCAAAAGGAACAAAACCCCAACAAAAAGCGCTAAAAGTTTGACACCCACGCGCTCGAAGGACCTGGGACGTGTAGATGTCGAAGTCGCAGGCCGAGGTGGTGGATTTCGATCCGGGGCCGTGGTGGAAACTTTCCTTTTGTTGCCTGAAATCACAAAGCGTATTTTTCCGGCTGATTTGTTTAGTTAACCACTGCTAAAGTATCTTCAAAGACTAAATTCTGTAAAAAACGTACAGCAAATTTTCTTCGGAAATGCGCCGCATAAAGTGGTGCTTCCCAGTCTCCATTCCTCAGCTCTGCCAAAGTACCCATTGAAAAATGATAGTCCAGTTGGTATTGTTGCGTCAACTAAAATTATGTATAGCTTTCGATATAATTTTTAGTAATGTTTGGATTAAGTCTTGGGTTTGTTGTATCACCCACCAATCTGTTCGTATTCCAGACCAAGCTCGGCTCGAGGTGTTTCTCAATTAACAGCCTCCCAATCTCACTAACTTTCTTCCCAGCTGCCATTTTTCGTTGTCGCTTTGACTATAGTAATTGATTAATTTTTCTGGTATAAACCTTACCCTTAAATGTTCAGCCCTATGGTGCAAAGCCCTCGGCGGTAATTCACGGGTAAAATCATAGTCGTCGGCAGCGGGATTGAGATAATCCCTGTGACTAAATCCTCTCATTAATTTCCGAATATTACTTTGTAGAAAAAAATTATTGACACTTACACAAAAGCTAGGTGGGTTCGCCGGAGAAAAATTGGCGAATATGAAGAGTTGTCGGCGAGCACTTTATAAAAGGCAAAAATTTCTCAAAATAATTTTTAGGGGAATAAGCTTTGAATTACTTGTAAATTGCCCTGGCGGGTATATCTTTCGCTTCTTCGCTTTTCATCTTCGCTATCGGATTGGGCGGTAACGCCTTTTTGGGCGGGTCGCAGGCAGGTTGATCTAAAGAGGTTTTTAAATAGGTATTTTTACGTAAAAACAGCAGTTTAGGCTCAGGTTTAGGCTTAGACCCAGACTTATGTTAGTCTGTGGAGCTTAACTTAAGCTTAGACTTAGTAATAAGCCTAGGCTTACCCCTAGTCTTAGTCTTAGGCTTAGCTCCTTTAGTGGAAAAAAAAACATGAAAAGCACTATGAAACCTCTAAGCAGATGTTTTTTTAGTTAAATTATTTGCTAACTAACCGCCGTCTTCCTTTCTTGGCGATGCTTTTTTGTGAGTTAGCTGGCTCCACTTCCTCATCAGAATTCCCAGAAACCGAAGGGCTGTTCTGGAGTCGAAGACGCTTCGATTTCCGGCTACCCACCACTGGCTGGGACGCTAAAACATTACTATACGTTTTAACTTTTAACGACTAGTGGTTTTTCTCCCCAAAAACTCGTTAATTTTATGTGATTCTAACCTCGAGCCGGCTCGAAATCCTCGTCGTTGTCGGAAGATTCGACGACACCCCGTTTTGACATTACCCCTAGAAATTTTGGGTGGTTGTTATTGGCAAAATTAACATATTGTAAAGTTAAAAGACATGGATTAAAGCGCAATTATAAGCAACCAATTAGCGCATCAAAAGACCGTTCCCCCATTTACTGGGGGTTCGAAATGGCGGGCACAAACTACGGAATGGAGCGCAAGATAGGTCACCCCTATGCAACCAATAGTGCCTCAAAACCAAGAGAGAATCGCGTTGCTTTGATCAAAACCAAGTTGGATGTATGTAATTTCAAAATATTTTAACCGTTATTTATTCAACCAAACAATTATTTTGATAAAAAAAATTAAAAAATAATCAAAGAGCAGATTAACGAATATTTTTTCGTTGTTTTCTTTTTCACATCATCTGATATCAGCAAAAATTCAATTATTTCTTTCGATATTTATAGTGATCGCTGGGTGGATCCGGACTCAGGCTTGGGATCCAACTAAAATAGCAGTTAAGATTTAAGTGTTACCTCACCAATTGCCATCAAATTTCAGGAGCACCGTGACGTAGGCCATGCTATATTTGGCGTCTGGGTCGCTGAGCCGGCTTTTCGCCGAGATTCTAACGTAGCCATAGTGCTGGTTGTTTTGCTGGAAAAAATAATAGGTTTAGATAGATAGAATGAAATAGAATAGGATATAATATTGACATTCTTAAAAAGTAAAAAAGTAAGAAGCGCTTCCAGAGAAACTCAGCATAGCGCAAAACTTGGAATACCAACTACGCCCAATTTTCTTGTCGTTAAAACACACGATTGTCTTTTATATAGCAAGGAAACACCTATAGAACAGCGACAAACCTGCGAATAATATTTCAAGACGTGCCCAGCCTGCGAAAAGTCGATGTCAATCTTGTAGCTCTCATGCGGAAAGGCTTCGAAAGCCATCTTATAGTATGGACGGGGGTCTGGTTGATGCGGAAAATTGATCTTACTCCCGGATCCTCGAGGGTCCCACTCTTCAAAACGGATCAACATCGCCACGTCGGCGGAAGTGGAGACGAGCATTGTCAGGTGGTGTTCATCGTTGAAATTCAGGTCTGAAATGGTTATGCTTGGGTTAGGTTTAGGTCAGATTTAAGCCTAGGCTTAGAATTATGTATCGGACCAAGCTGGACCTCCTAACACCCGCTCTTACCTGTAATTTGAAGAAATCTTGGGCTCAAATAGCCCCGCTTCAACTCCTTTCGATAGGCTTCTGCTTGATAGTCGTAGGCTATTGGGGCTGGGACGAGCATTGGCTGAATTTGCGGGAATCCATCAAATGGAGTCATGTAGGCTAAAAATCATGCTCACATAAAATTTCTAATAATATAAAATTACCCGGTTGATGCCCATAACCAATTGGAACAATATTAACCGGCTGAGAGAACGGCGCCGGCTCTAAAACAATGTGTTCACATGCGACGAGGGTTTAGGTAACCTTTAAATTGGCCAAATTTCGGTGGCAAAAAATCCGGAAGGCACTTTTGTATCAGGTCTCGCTTGCTACTGGGGGTTTTTTCCGCATGGGTCGGGAATCCTTGTTGAAAGGCATCTAAATAAATCTAAGCCGATGCTAGGGCAAAAAGTACCTGTTCTTGAGCCGGTAGCGATGGGTGACGAGGGGATTTGAGGAGGAGGAGGAGGAAAAGGAGATGTATTCCTAAAACGCCTATTTTTGATGGCTCAACAACAGAGGATCATTTTCTAAATAGATATCTGCGATGCGAATCCGTAATGCCATTTTATCCTACCAAGGATTGTGTTGAGGTGGCGGGGTGTGAACCAGAATTTCGTCCGGTTTTGGCTCTTCGGGATCATTGATTTCTTGCTCATCTTCATCAGCATCGCTATCAAACGATACTTGCTCGACCCTCGGGCTGATTCGGACCCTCTTTTTCGCCTCATTGATGACGATTTTTGCCTTGTCTGGTCCATGGAGCCGCATCGCCTTCAGATCTTTCTCAACCTTTTCAGAGAACTCCAAGAGTTTCTCGATTGAGTATTCTAAAAGTTATAGTATGGAACGGTGTAGCTGTACAAACTGATACCTTGAGGGATATTTGTAGCAGATCCATTCGTAATATTTGCGCTGTAAGATTCTACCGGTAGAAGTCCATGTTTTTTGCCAAAGCGAAACTAAATCAGGTTCAAATTCTGCTACGCTATTTCTACGGTATATATGCGTATTTTTAAGGCGTCGAAAAATAACAACTCACGTAGTCTCTTGTCCCTGCTAATTGGCCTAAATATCGTTCGGCCTTCTTCATGCCTTCCAAAGCTTTGTTCATGTGAAGCAAAGCATCATTATCAGAGGCTTGGTCCAAAGCAGCATATTGCTTTCCAAGCGTCTAGACGATCAAAACTTCAAAATATTCCCAAGAACAATTAACCTCTTTATATAACCCAAATGCTTTTTCGATCTCATTCAAATAGACCGTGGTGCGTCCCATGAAAATATCCCTGAGCTTCTCGCTTTTTTGCAGAACAATATTCACCTAAATGGATATTCCATTTGGTATAGTATGTACCAAAGTACGACGCGCAGTTCTGTGATGGTCATCATGGGTTCTACCACATTCTTGACACCACAACTTTGTCAATAGCTAAATCGTAGGTATTTAATTATAGAAATTTAATGTACTTTCTCCACGCCCAGATCATCCCCATCTGAGGCGCAAATGAACAGCTTTGTAAGCTCGAACGGTTTATGGCAATTGCAACAGTCGTAATGGGTATGGATTGTAGTCATGTTCTCTGAAGAAAAATGGCTAAGAATTTTTGAGAGCGCGGCCCACCTGACTATCCGTTTAACATGAATTGTTTCGAAATCGAGTGGAAAGCTCTGGGGGGGCTAGACCGAGGAATGGCTTGCAGGGAATATTTGGGGGAGGGTCAGCCGGGCAGGCAAGTCCTTATCAGTCATACACACTTTTTATGAATCATGTCAATGGCGGCAAAGCTTGGGTTTGTTCTTCTTGCCCGAGTTATTTTCGAAAAACCAACGAACGGATGATAAAATTAGACGGATGCATAACAAGCGACAAAAGAGTTTGGTTATTATCAAAAAGACGGGCCAGTATTTTGTAGGCCAATAGTTTGCAGTTTCGGGTAGGCAAAGGGCAAGCGTGCGGTTAGCTTTGATACGTATGGATAGCCAAAGAACAGTTCTAATTGTAAGTTGGGCATTTGCGTACATGGAGTGGTTTCTACATGATCGTGGAATTTTGCAACGTGAGGAGTGAGCTCATTCGATAGAGCTTCAAAAGTTCTTCGAGACCAAGCTTCTCAAAGTTCGCATTTTGTTAAGCGGGGGCCAAAAATGCGCAAAATCGGCCCCTTTGGAGCAAATTTTCATGGAAACCGTAGCAAAACGTTATTCGTTGGCATTTTTAGGGGCCTCTACAGCTGAAATTGTGCGTCAAAATGTACTGCAGCTCAGCAATTTCCGATTCCGGATTTTGAAACCTCTAAAAACGCTTCGACTCGGGCTTAGGAGTGTCCCCATTGTAAGCGTCCTATACCATCGGCATCCGACCTGAGATTCCTTTTGCGGTTGATATACTTTTTCCGTTGGTTCCTTGCGCCTCTTAACTCCTATTTTGCATCCCTACACCTCAAGATTTGTGCCGAATATCCACATCCCCGGGTGCCGATTGGAATGTGGTGCGTGGGGGGAGGAGGGGATTTGCGACTGGGTGCTGGAGTCGAGTTGAATCGGAAGCGGGGAGGAGAGCTTTGTAAGGGGATCCGCATGGGAAGCAAATGTGCTGCCGACGGGCTTTCTGCCCGAACCGACCGACTATGCCCATTTCGTTCCGACAAACAACGCTTTGCCGCTCACTAAAATGGGCAGTCTTTCGGTGGGAGAGTGCTCACTAGGCCGTTACGGTGGCCGGCACGTCATTAGCGTGTGCCCTGGAACCTAGAGCCTATTCCTGACGTTGGCCGTCATTCTAAGAATCTTCCGCTTTTGTGTGCTTTTAAAAAATTTTCTTGACTTGTATCTATTGACACATCGTATCACTAGAATCTTTGTGAAAACTAGTTGGTACTGTAGCAGGGGGATTCTTCGCGGGGTGAAAACTAATTGTTCCAAGCAATCATGTCCCATAGCTGAGAACAAACCATTTTTATGACATTTAACGCAGCCTTTAGATATCTAAACTCATAACAAGCTTATGAAAATTTTAAACTCTGTGGCCAAAATGTAGGAAAAAGACCAAAAATTTTGAATTTCCAAAAAATGTTAAATTATTTTTGTAGCCTGCTAGCAATCAAAAACAACTAAAACTTCATGAAAATACGCTATTTATTATTAGCGTTAGGTAAACAAAAAAAACGGTTTTTTCCCAGCCACAAAATCCCCCTGTTAACGATCCAGTACCAACTATTTTCGTGTTTCATGCAACGTGCCAGTAAGACCTCCCATTTCCCGGGCGTTTCTTCAGAGGTTTTTTCTGTCCCGCCCGCACATGATATCCAGAAATCTGGGGTCCAAGTTGCCGCAGGCGGGGTCCGCAACCTCGTGCGCAAATATGAACTCATCCCGGCACCAATATATTTCGTGGATCGCCAAAATGCGCCACCGCCTGCTTCACAAGTAACCCGACATTTTGCAACAAGGTGTCCGGGGTGATATTTTGCTCTGAGGATCGGTGGATTTGAAACCGGAACTACACATTGTTTTGAGTCTGTGCTGTTTTACTGGTTTTTATTTGGACCTAAGCCAAGCCTGGGCCTAAACCGAGACCAAAGCCCAAGAACTAAGCCCAAGCCTAAGCCTAAGCGGTCAAGTCAATCTCCAAGGAAGACTTATATCTGTGCACATTTTTACCAAATTATACCTGCCCCCTAGTCTTTGGCCTCAAGCCAACCCAGCAATCACCCCTTCCCCAATTTCCCTAACTGCTCCACTCCGGGCTGCAAGCCACTTTGTTCAATTGTCGGCTGCCCCCGGGCCCGCCACCGCTAAATTTGGAGGCGCCCAGGCCGGATGTTCG